TGCATCACAGTGCTAGCTGTGCCACTAGAGATCCTGGTTCGAATCCAGGCTCTGTCGTAGCCGGCCACGACCGGGAGACCCAAGGGGCGGTGCACAATCGGCCAAGCGTCGTCCATGGTAGGGGAGGGAATGGCCGGCAGGGACGTAGCTCAGTTGGTAGAGCATGGCGTTTGCAACGCCAGGGTTGTGGGTTCGATTCCCATGGGGGGCCAGTATGAAAAATAAAAAAATAATGTATGCACTCACTAACTGTAAGTTGCTCTGGATAAGAGCATCTGCTAAAATTACTAAAAAGTTAAAAAAAAAGATAGACACAGGAGGAGGAGAGAGAGAAGTAAAAAGTGAGAATCCCATTCTTTGAAGAGGGCAGTTGTTAATCATAGAGTGAAGTTTATTTGTACCTGAGTGCATGGTCCCTCTCCTTTGCTTTTCCAGCTGTCGTAACATCAAAACCTTCTGTGGGTAATTGGAATGCTCTGGTAAAACTTATGACCATCTGACATATCACAGTGTATTAAAGTTCTGCTTTGGAGCCCAAAATGGTAATAGAAGAGATAAAACAAGTTATCCCTCTCCTGTCTGTCCACTCCCTGCCTTTAAGGTGTTCTCTTTACTTTCACATTCTCCATGGTGCACTATAACACTACGCCCAACACCTATCATTTTATATTGTATGTTCAGCAGTTTCATTATTGATGAGGGCTGCGAATAGTGTAGCTTGTCCCTGAGCTGGTCAACAAATGGTTGCCTCTCTACCTACTGGAGGTACTGCAAGTTAGTTCCAACCTTAAAAGTAACAAAGAAAGCTATGAAAAAAGTGTTTATGAACTGACACGCAAAACGACACCGGATTCAAAAATTTGAATCTTTCAATTTAAATTATTATATAAAATTCTTGCTACCAATAGAATGTTATTTATATGGGGGATACAATCTTCCCAGCTCTGCAGATTTTGCTGTGAAGAGACAGAATCATTAGATCATTTGTTTTGGTTCTGTCCATTTGTAGCTTGTTTTTGGACACAGGTCCAGGAATGGCTAAAGGATTGCAATATTTACCTGGAACTAACCTTGCAGATAGCATTACTGGGTGATCTGAAAAGTCATAGTCAATCAATCAATAATATAATAATACTTTTAGCAAAAAAAATTATTTTTAATTCACAATCTGTATAAGCAATGAGAATAGAAAGGTTCAGAACTTTTGTAAAACATCACAGTACGGTTGAAATATATATGGCAAATAGAAATCCTATATGGATGGTGTTAAGAGATAGATGGGAGGTATTGAATAGAGTTGAAGGATGGGACTAATAACAAATAACAACAAATAATAACAAAGATAGCTAATAAAGTAAGCATACTGTGTCCATAATAAGTATATGGGTTGTATGTTGGGAGCTTTTGGGAAAGAGCACAGTTAGAAAGATATGGCATATAGAAGCAAACCGGATGGACATCATGAAAATGATCGGAGAGGTTGAAAGTAGAAGAAGTTCAGGAGCAAAAATAAATAAATAATAATAATAATATATTATATATATATATATATATATATATATATATATATATATATATATATATATATATATATATATATATAATATAATTATTGTAAAATTAACTCTGTCCATAAGGTGTAGATAGTAAGTATAGACCGGAAGTAGAGGCCTGGGCATTGTTGTTCACTAATTTACTCCAAGTAGGGAAAGGATGGTGGGGTTGAAAAGTAATAAAGGGGAGTATATATATATATATAAAAAAAAACATTGGGGATTGGAAGTGATGCAGACAATTACATTGATAGAAGATACAATCTATCTGCAATATTAAGCTGATCCATTCGACCCCCCCCCCAAAAAAAAAAAAAAAAAAAATCTGATGACATGACTGAGACCGGGCTGTATTAAGGGGGATTTTTATTTAGTTGAGCCTGATATCTAGCTACATTTCGTATTTGTATAGTTAGCTACAGTGCCTTCGGAAAGTATTCAAACCCCTTGACTTTTTCCACATTTTGTTACGTTACAGCCTTGTTCTAAAATGAATTAAATAAATACAAATCCTCAGCAATTTACACACAATACCCCATAATGACAAAGCAAAAACAGGTTTTTAGAAATGTTTGCAAATGTATTAAAAATGGAAAACAGAAATAACTCATTTACAGTATTCAGTATTCAGACGCGTTGCTATGAGACTCGAAAATGAGCTCAGGTGTATCCTGTTTCCATTGATCATCCTTGAGATGTTTCTACAACTTGATTGGAGTCCACCTGTGGTAAATTCAATTGATTGGACATGATTTGGAAAGGCACACACCTGTCTATATAAGGTCCCACAGTTGACAGTGCATGTCAGAGCAAAAACCAAGCCATGAGGTCGAAGGAATTATCCATAGCGCTCCGAGACAGGATTGTGTTGAGGCAGAGATCTGGGGAAGGGTACCAAAACATTTCTGTAGCATTGAAGGTCCCCAAGAACACAGTGGCCTGCATCATTCTTAAATGGAAGAAGTTTGGAACTACCAAGACTCTTCCTAGAGCTGGCCGACCGGCCAAACTGAGCAATCGGGGGAGAAGGGCCTTGGTCAGGGAGGTGACCAAGAACCCAATGGTCACTCTGACAGAGCTCCAGAGTTCCTCTGTGGAGATGGGAGAACCTTCCAGAAGGACAACCATCTCTGCAGCACTCCACCAATCAGGCCTTTATGGTAGAGTGGCCAGATGGAAGCCTCAGTAAAAGGCACATGACAGCCTGCTTGGAGTTTGCCAAAAGGCACCTGAAGGACTCTCAGGCCATGAGAAACAAGATTCTCTGGTCTGATGAAACCAAGATTGAACTATTTGGCCTGAATGCCAAGTGTCACGTCTGGAGGCAACCTGGCACCATCCCTACGGTGAAGCATGGTTGTGGCAGCATCATGCTGTGGGGATGTTTTTCAGCGGCAGGGACTGGGAGACTGGTCAGGATTGAGGGAAAGATGAACGGAGCAAAGTACAGAGAGATCCTTGATGAAATCCTGCTCCAGAGCGCTCAGGACCTCAGACTGGGGCGAGGGAGTGGCTTCGGGACAAGTCTCTGAATGTCCTTGAGTGGACCAGCCACAGCCCGGACCTGAACCCGATCTAACATCTCTGGAGAGACCTGAAAATAGTTGTGCAGCGACGCTCCCCATCCAACCTGACAGCGCTTGAGAGGATCTGCAGAGAAGAATGGGAGAAACTCCCCAAATACAGGTGTGCCAAGCTTGTAGCGTAATACCCAAGAAGACTCAAGGCTGTAATCGCTGCCGATGGTGCTTCAACAAAGTACTGAGTAAAGGGTCTGAATACTTATGTAAATGTGATATTTCCTGGTTCTTTTATTATACATTTGCAAAAAATTCAAAAAACCTGTTTTTGCTTTGTCCTTATGGGGTATTGTGTGTAGATTGATGAGGGGGAAAAACTATTTAAGCCATTTTAGAATAAGGCTGTAACATAACAAAATGTGGAAAAAGTCAAGGGGACGGAATACTTTTCAAATGCACTGTATATGTCATTTAGTAGACACTTTTATCCAAAGCGACATGGAAGAACTGGGACATTTTCAGCTTCCAGGAATTGTGTACAGATCCTAGCGACGTGGGGCCGTGCATTATCATGCTGAAACATGAGGTGATGGCGGCGGATGAATGGCACGACAATGCGCCTCAGGATCTTCTCCCAGTTCTTCCATGGCCTACATACTCAGACATGTCACCCATTGAGCATGTTTGGGATGCTCTGGATTGATTTGTACAACAACGTTCCAGTTCCCGCCAATATCCAGCAACTTCGCACTGCCATTGTGCCATTGAAGAGGAGTGGGACAACATTCCACAGGCCACAAACAACAGCCTGATCAACTCTATGCGAAGGAGATGTGTCGCGCTGCATAAGGCAAATGGTGGTCACACCAGATACTGACTGGTTTTCTGATCCACGCCCCTACCTTTTCTTTGAGGTATCTGTGACCAACAGATGCATATCTGTATTCCCTGTCATGTAAAATACCTAGATTAGGGCCTAATGAATGTATTTCAATTGACTGATTTCCTCATATGAACTGTAACTCAGTAAAATCTTTGAAATTGTTGCATGTTGCGTTTAGATTTTTGTTCAGTATATTGAAACATTCAACAACACCAGTGAAACCTTATCAACAGATTACAGTAATTTATGAATTGGGACAACATTTTAACAGAATTCAAGAATGCAAAGGATATTGCTAATTTGTACTACAGTAGCTTCACAGTATACATTCATAATCTAGCTACAGGTAGAAAAAAAGTTAAAGATTTGTGGTTGATTTTATAGAACTCGCCAGCTTGTAGTCCTAAAGTTAGTTCTGGTTCGTTCAGCCATTCTTTTGGGGAAATAATTGGGTTTTGGGATAAACGCAGAAAATAGCATCTGAGGTTAACACAGGCTTAGGAGATTTTGATCTGAGATAATATCAGTCAGTTAATATGAACGTTATGAATTAAGCCTTTATGTGCTTTTTCTGATTACATAAAAAATCTCCTAAGCCTGCGTTTACCACAGACCTTATTTTCTATATTTATCCAAAAACCCTACAAAAACTCCTTTCATTTTCCCATAGGGTTTGTTCAATGAACCATGGCGGGTTACTGCCAACAAAAAGACGGCATTAATATTGCTCTCTTTTTCTTGTGGCGTCTGAAAACTTTTCGGGAAAAAGACACACACATTTACAACTGGGCATCACTGAATAACACAAAATGTGTATAACGCATGTCTCATTTGACATGAATTTCACCTGCATCTCGGACCCATTTCACACTATAGTGCTAACCCAACCTATACTGTGCTGGCTCTGATATTGTCCTTTCCAGCATGGTTCCAGCAACTACAGTGGATGCTTAACCCGGCCAACGCAGTACAGCTTAAGGGTTTTGGTAGTCATTCCAATATTCTCATTGGGGTTTTGTCACATTGTCCTGGGCTGAACACAGGAAAGTAGTTTGATGTCTTCACATCAGTAAATGTGTAGAGAAGTGACTCTGTATCAACATTATAAAAAGACAGAGTGTGTCTGTCACAGTCTAGAAACACTCCCACTCCCACTATAGTGATCTCTGCCACAGTTATCGGTGTTTGAGGGTCAGTATTGACATGGAAACCCTTTTCTTTATCATAAGAAAGAATCCAAAATCCATTCTGTGGAGTTAAAGGAACATTAGATCTTCTCTTAACATTTTCTCTGGCCACACCAACATACCATGACAGTTTGTCTTTTTGTTCCTTTACCTTCACTTCCCAATAGTGTTGTCCTGAACTGAAACTCTCTACACAAAATACATGGAGATGCATTCTCATAGAGGGGTTTTCTGTATCTTTTACGTAAGTAGCCCGCTTTCCTTTAATGACTCTAATAGCAGGGTGCACAGTCTTTGTATCCAGAATGATGTTCTCTGATGGAACTGGAAAGACAAGATTTATTTCATTTACACAATAAGTTGGGATGGATTGGTAAGGATTTCAGATAATGTGGACCTACAGGTAACTGCCAAAATAAAGGAAACACTCGAGTAAATGAAGTTTCTGGCGGCTCGGTTATGGTGTGGGGTGCTTTTCCTAGCATGGTTTAGGTCCACTCAACCCCTTAGATGGCAAGGTAAACGCCAATAAATACACAGCCATTCTGAGTGATCACCTTCAACCTATGATCAATCATTTCTATTCTGATGGGAGTGGTCTCTTACAGAATGATAATGCCCCCATAGGGTACGAGTGGTCACAATGGTTTGATGATCATGAAAACAATGTAAACTATATGCCATGGACATCTCAGTCACCAGATCTCAACTCAATTTAACACGTATGGGTGATTCTGGAGCGGCGCCTTAGACAGCATTTTCCACCACCATCAACAAAAGAGCTCCAGACACTTGTAGAATCTATGCCAATGCTGTCCTGGCAGCTCTTGGTGGCCAAATGCCCTATTAAGACACTTTGTTGGTTTCCTTAATTTTGGCTGTTAACTGTATATCGTATTAATTTAATGAACATACAATTTTCCTGTCCTATTGTGATTTTGTTTTACCTTTGAATCCTTTCACCTGGTGCCAATCTGCATTGAAAAAAGTAAATTGTGAGTGTCTTGTATTTCAATTGCTCCAAAAGTTGTATAAATGTATAAATTATAAATGGTTAAATGCACTCCAACACGTCAGCAGAATTAGTTTTATAAACAATGCATTCACTGTAAATTATACAATTCAGAGGGTAACGCATTTTTTCCACCTATATAATTTGACCTTTCAGATTAACTTCTTTACCAGATGCTATGTGTTTGGTAGGAGTGTTCACTGTGTTTTCTGCCCCTAACAGAGCAAATTTTGGTAATTATATTGCAATTCATTATCATAAATATTTTATTGATACAAAACTAGGCTAATACATAATTATCAAAGTTATAATATTACACAATATACTGTATATCATGATAGTGAACATTACCTTCAATGGAGTTGTGGAACTGGGACAGTCAAATCCGATTGAGATTATTTCAAATTACCATCCAATTATACAATTAAAAGGGTAATATATTTTTTATCCTATTACTTTACCTGCCAGATTAACTTCTTTTCCAGCGGCCATCTGTTCGGTAGGTTTCGGCACTGAGTTTTCTGCCCCTAACGGAGAACATTTAAGTCATATTGAAATTCATCAGGTTACTACATTATCAAAGATATATTATATCATATACAGCATATCATGAGTGAACATTACCTTCAATTAGGTTTTTTGTCTCTGTTGAATGGAAAAGGTTAAAGTTATTGTTAAAAAGGTGAATGTGGAACTGGTACAGTCAAATCCTATTGAGATTATGTCAAATTATCATCCATTATACAATTAAAAGGGTAATATATTTTTTATCCTATTACTTTACCTGCCAGATTAACTTCTTTTCCAGCGGCCATCTGTTCGGTAGGTTTCGGCACTGTGTTTTCTGCCCCTAACGGAGACCATTTACAGTGGGGAAAAAAAGTATTTAGTCAGCCACCAATTGTGTAAGTTCTCCCACTTAAAAAGATGAGAGAGGCCTGTAATTTTCATCATAGGTACACGTCAACTATAACAGACAAAATGAGGGGAAAAAATCCAGAAAATCACATTGTAGGATTTTTTATGAATTTATTTGCAAATTATGGTGGAAAATAAGTATTTGGTCAATAACAAAAGTTTCTCAATACTTTGTTATATACCCTTTGTTGGCAATGACACAGGTCAAAAGTTTTCTGTAAGTCTTCACAAGGTTTTCACACACTGTTGCTGGTATTTTGGCCCATTCCTCCATGCAGATCTCCTCTAGAGCAGTGATGTTTTTGGGCTGTCGCTGGGCAACACAGACTTTCAACTCCCTCCAAAGATTTTCTATGGGGTTGAGATCTGGAGACTGGCTAGGCCACTCCAGGACCTTGAAATGCTTCTTACGAAGCCACTCCTTCGTTGCCCGGGCGGTGTGTTTGGGATCATTGTCATGCTGAAAGACCCAGCCACGTTTCATCTTCAATGCCCTTGCTGATGGAAGGAGGTTTTCACTCAAAATCTCACGATACATGGCCCCATTCATTCTTTCCTTTACACGGATCAGTCGTCCTGGTCCCTTTGCAGAAAAACAGCCCCAAAGCATGATGTTTCCACCCCCATGCTTCACAGTAGGTATGGTGTTCTTTGGATGCAACTCAGCATTCTTTGTCCTCCAAACACGACGAGTTGAGTTTTTACCAAAGAGTTCTATTTTGGTTTCATCTGACCATATGACGTTCTCCCAATCCTCTTCTGGATCATCCAAATGCACTCTAGCAAACTTCAGACGGGCCTGGACATGTACTGGCTTAAGCAGGGGAACACGTCTGGCACTGCAGGATTTGAGTCTCTGGCGGCGTAGTGTGTTACTGATGGTAGGCTTTGTTACTTTGGTCCCAGCTCTCTTCAGGTCATTCACTAGGTCCCCCCCGTGTGGTTCTGGGATTTTTGCTCACCGTTCTTGTGATCATTTTGACCCCACGGGGTGAGATCTTGCGTGGAGCCCCAGATCGAGGGAGATTATCAGTGGTCTTGTATGTCTTCCATTTCCTAATAATTGCTCCCACAGTTGATTTCTTCAAACCAAGCTGCTTACCTATTGCAGATTCAGTCTTCCCAGCCTGGTGCAGGTCTACAATTTTGTTTCTGGTGTCCTTTGACAGCTCTTTGGTCTTGGCCATAGTGGAGTTTGGAGTGTGACTGTTTGAGGTTGTGGACAGGTGTCTTTTATACTGATAACAAGTTCAAACAGGTGCCATTAATACAGGTAACGAGTGGAGGACAGAGGAGCCTCTTAAAGAAGAAGTTACAGGTCTGTGAGAGCCAGAAATCTGGCTTGTTTGTAGGTGACCAAATACTTATTTTCCACCATAATTTGCAAAAAAATTCACTAAAAATCCTACAATGTGATTTTCCGGAGAAAAAAATGCTCAATCTGTCTGTCATAGTTGACGTGTACCTATGATGAATATTACAGGCCTCTCTCATCTTTTTAAGTGGGAGAACTTGCACAATTGGTGGCTGACTAAATACTTTTTCCCCCCACTGTAGGTAATATAGAAATTAATCAGTTTACTACATTACCAAAGTTATATTATATCATATACAGTATACCATGAGTGAATATTACCTTCAACTAGGTTTTTTGTCTCTGCTGAATGGAAAATGTTAAAGTTATTGTTAAAAGGTGAATGTGGAACTGGGACAGTCAAATCCTATTGAGATTATGTCAAATTATCATCCAATTATACAATTAAAAGGGTAATATATTTTTTATCCTATTACTTTACCTGCCAGATTAACTTCTTTTCCAGCGGCCATCTGTTCGGTAGGTTTCGGCACTGAGTTTTCTGCCCCTAAAGGAGAACATTTAGGTCATATTGAAATTCATCAGGTTACTACATTATCAAAGTTATATTATATCATATACAGCATATCATGAGTGAACATTAACTTCAACTAGGTTTTTTGTCTCTGTTGAATGGAAAATGTTAAAGATATTGTTAAAAGGTGAATGTGGAACTGGGGAAATCAAATCCTATTGAGATTATGTCAAATTATCATCCAACTATACAATTAAAAGGGTAATATTTTTTTAATCCTATTACTTTACCTGCCAGATTAACTTCTTTTCAAGTGACCATCTGTTCGGTAGGTTTCGGCACTGTGTTTTCTGCCCCTAACGGAGAACATTTAGGTCATATTGAAATTCATCAGGTTACTACATTATCAAAGTTATATTATTTCATATACAGCATATCATGAGTGAACATTAACTTCAACTAGGTTTTTTGTCTCTGCTGAATGGAAAAGGTGAAAGTTATTGTTAAAAGGTGAATGTGGAACTGGGAAAGTCAAATCCTATTGAGATGATGTCAAATTATCATCCATTATACAATTAAAAGGGTAATATATTTTTAATCCTATTACTTTACCTGCCAGATTAACTTCTTTTCCAGCGGCCATCTGTTCGGTAGGTTTCGGCACTGAGTTTTCTGCCCCTAATGGAGACCATTTAGGTCATATTGAAATTCATTAGGTTACAATATTATCAAAGTTCTATTATATCATATACAGCATACCATGAGTGAACATTAACTTCAACTAGGTTTTTTGTCTCTGCTGAATGGAAAATGTTAAAGATAATGTTAAAAGGTGAATGTGGAACTGGGAAAGTCAAATCCTATTGAGATTATGTCAAATTATCATCCATTATACAATTAAAAGGGTAATATATTTTTAATCCTATTACTTTACCTGCCAGATTAAATTCTTTTCCAGCGGCCATCTGTTCAGTAGGTTTCGTCACTGAGTTTTCTGCCCCTAATGGAGACCATTTAGGTCATATTGAAATTCATTAGGTTACAATATTATCAAAGTTCTATTATATCATATACAGCATATCATGAGTGAACATTAACTTCAACTAGGTTTTTTGTCTCTGCTGAATGGAAAATGTTAAAGATATTGTTAAAAGGTGAATGTGGAACTGGGAAAGTCAAATCCTATTGAGATTATGTCAAATTATCATCCATTATACAATTAAAAGGGTAATATATTTTTTATCCTATTACTTTACCTGCCAGATTAACTTCTTTTCCAGCGGCCATCTGTTCGGTAGGTTTCGGCACTGAGTTTTCTGCCCCTAACGGAGAACATTTAGGTCATATTGAAATTCATCAGGTTACTACATTATCAAAGTTATATTATATCATATACAGCATATCATGAGTGAACATTAACTTCAACTAGGTTTTTTGTCTCTGCTGAATGGAAAAGGTGAAAGTTATTTTTTAAAAGGTGAATGTGGAACTGGGGAATGTCAACCCTATTGAGATTATGTCAAATTATCATCCAATTATACAATTAAAAGGGTAATATATTTTTTATCCTATTACTTTACCTGCCAGATTAACTTCTTTTCCAGCGGCCATCTGTTCGGTAGGTTTCGGCACTGAGTTTTCTGCCCCTAACGGAGAACATTTAGGTCATATTGAAATTCATCAGGTTACTACATTATCAAAGTTATATTATATCATATACAGCATATCATGAGTGAACATTACCTTCAACTAGGTTTTTTGTCTCTGCTGAATGGAAAAGTGTAAAGTTATTGTTAAAAGGTGAATGTGGAACTGGGACAGTCAAATCCTATTGAGATGATGTCAAATTATCATCCATTATACAATTAAAAGGGTAATATATTTTTTATCCTTTACTTTTACCTGCCAGATTAACTTTCTTTTCCAGCGGACCATCTGTTCGGTAGGTTTCGGCACTGAGTTTTCTGCCCCTAACGGAGAACATTTAGGTCATATTGAAATTCATCAGGTTACTACATTATCAAAGTTATATTATATCATATACAACATATCATGAGTGAACATTACCTTCAACTAGGTTTTTTGTCTCTGTTGAATGGAAAAGGTGAAAGTTAATTTTTAAAAGGTGAATGTGGTAACTGGGAATGTCAAATCCCTATTGAGATTATGTCAAATTATCATCCATTATACAATTAAAAGGGTAATATATTTTTAATCCTATTACTTTACCTGCCAGATTAAACTTCTTTTCCAGCGGCCATCTGTTCGGTAGGTTTCGGCACTGAGTTTTCTGCCCCTAATGGAGAACATTTAGGTCATATTGAAATTCATTAGGTTACTACATTATCAAAGTTATATTATATCATATACAGCATATCATGAGGTGAACATTAACTTCAATTAGGTTTTTGTCTCTGCTGAATGGAAAAGGTGAAAGTTATTGTTAAAAGGTGAATGTGGAACTGGTACAGTCAAATCCTATTGAGATTATGTCAAATTATCATCCAATTATACAATTAAAAGGGTAATATATTTTTTATCCTATTACTTTACCTGCCAGATTAACTTCTTTTCCAGCGGCCATCTGTTCGGTAGGTTTCGGCACTGAGTTTTCTGCCCCTAACGGAGACCATTTAGGTCATATTGAAATTCATCAGGTTACTACATTATCAAAGTTATATTATATCATATACAGTATATCATGAGTGAACATTACCTTCAATTAGGTTTTTTGTCTCTGTTGAATGGAAAAGGTGAAAGTTATTGTTAAAAAGGTGAATGTGGAACTGGTACAGTCAAATCCTATTGAGATTATGTCAAATTATCATCCATTATACAATTAAAAGGGTAATATATTTTTTATCCTATTACTTTACCTGCCAGATTAACTTCTTTTCCAGCTTCCATCTTTTCGGTAGGTTTCGGCACTGTGTTTTCTGCCCCTAACGGAGACCATTTACAGTGGGGGAAAAAAAGTATTTAGTCAGCCACCAATTGTGCAAGTTCTCCCACTTAAAAAGATGAGAGAGGCCTGTAATTTTCATCATAGGTACACGTCAACTATGACAGACAAAATGAGAAAAAAACATCCAGAAAATCACATTGTAGGATTTTTAATGAATTTATTTGCAAATTATGGTGGAAAATAAGTATTTGGTCAATAACAAAAGTTTCTCAATACTTTGTTATATACACTTTGTTGGCAATGACACAGGTCAAACGTTTTCTGTAAGTCTTCACAAGGTTTTCACACACTGTTGCTGGTATTTTGGCCCATTCCTCCATGCAGATCTCCTCTAGAGCAGTGATGTTTTTGGGCTGTCGCTGGGCAACACAGACATTCAACTCCCTCCAAAGATTTTCTATGGGGTTGAGATCTGGAGACTGGCTAGGCCACTCCAGGACCTTGAAATGCTTCTTACGAAGCCACTCCTTCGTTGCCCGGGCGGTGTGTTTGGGATCATTGTCATGCTGAAAGACCCAGCCACGTTTCATCTTCAATGCCCTTGCTGATGGAAGGAGGTTTTCACTCAAAATCTCACGATACATGGCCCCATTCATTCTTTCCTTTACACGGATCAGTCGTCCTGGTCCCTTTGCAGAAAAACAGCCCCAAAGCATGATGTTTCCACCCCCATGCTTCACAGTAGGTATGGTGTTCTTTGGATGCAACTCAGCATTCTTTGTCCTCCAAACACGACGAGTTGAGTTTTTACCAAAGAGTTCTATTTTGGTTTCATCTGACCATATGACGTTCTCCCAATCCTCTTCTGGATCATCCAAATGCACTCTAGCAAACTTCAGACGGGCCTGGACATGTACTGGCTTAAGCAGGGGAACACGTCTTGCACTGCAGGATTTGAGTCTCTGGCGGCGTAATGTGTTACTGATGGTAGGCTTTGTTACTTTGGTCCCAGCTCTCTTCAGGTCATTCACTAGGTCCCCCCCGTGTGGTTCTGGGATTTTTGCTCACCGTTCTTGTGATCATTTTGACCCCACGGGGTGAGATCTTGCGTGGAGCCCCAGATCGAGGGAGATTATCAGTGGTCTTGTATGTCTTCCATTTCCTAATAATTGCTCCCACAGTTGATTTCTTCAAACCAAGCTGCTTACCTATTGCAGATTCAGTCTTCCCAGCCTGGTGCAGGTCTACAATTTTGTTTCTGGTGTCCTTTGACAGCTCTTTGGTCTTGGCCATAGTGGAGTTTGGAGTGTGACTGTTTGAGGTTGTGGACAGGTGTCTTTTATACTGATAACAAGTTCAAACAGGTGCCATTAATACAGGTAACGAGTGGAGGACAGAGGAGCCTCTTAAAGAAGAAGTTACAGGTCTGTGAGAGCCAGAAATCTGGCTTGTTTGTAGGTGACCAAATACTTATTTTCCACCATAATTTGCAAATAAATTCATTAAAAATCCTACAATGTGATTTTCTGGAGAAAAACATTCTCAATCTGTCTGTCATAGTTGACGTGTACCTATGATGAATATTACAGGCGTCTCTCATCTTTTTAAGTGGGAGAACTTGCACAATTGATGGCTGACTAAATACTTTTTCCCCCCACTGTAGGTAATATTGAAATTAATCAGTTTACTACATTATCAAAGTTATATTATATCATATACAGTATACCATGAGTGAATATTACCTTCAACTAGGTTTTTTGTCTCTGCTGAATGGAAAATGTTAAAGTTATTGTTAAAAGGTGAATGTGGAACTGGGACAGTCAAATCCTATTGAGATTATGTCAAATTATCATCCAATTATACAATTAAAAGGGTAATATATTTTTATCCTATTACTTTACCTGCCAGATTAACTTCTTTTCCAGAGGCCATCTGTTCGGTAGGTTTCGGCACTGTGTTTTCTGCCCCTAACAGAGAAAATTTAGGTCATATTGAAATTCATCAGGTTACTACATTATCAAAGTTATATTATATCATATACAGCATATCATGAGTGAACATTAACTTCAACTAGGTTTTTTGTCTCTGTTGAATGGAAAATGTTAAAGATATTGTTAAAAGGTGAATGTGGAACTGGGAAAGTCAAATCCTATTGAGATTATGTCAAATTATCATCCATTATACAATTAAAAGGGTAATATATTTTTTATCCTATTACTTTACCTGCCAGATTAACTTCTTTTCCAGTGACCATCTGTTCGGTAGGTTTCGGCACTGTGTTTTCTGCCCCTAACGGAGAACATTTAGGTCATATTGAAATTCATCAGGTTACTACATTATCAAAGTTATATTATTTCATATACAGCATATCATGAGTGAACATTAACTTCAACTAGGTTTTTTGTCTCTGCTGAATGGAAAAGGTGAAAGTTATTGTTAAAAGGTGAATGTGGAACTGGGACAGTCAAATCCTATTGAGATGATGTCAAATTATCATCCATTATACAATTAAAAGGGTAATATATTTTTTATCCTATTACTTTACCTGCCAGATTAACTTCTTTTCCAGTGACCATCTGTTCGGTAGGTTTCGGCACTGTGTTTTCTGCCCCTAACGGAGAACCATTTAGGTCATATTGAAATTAATCAGGTTACATATTATCAAAGTTCTATTATATCATATACACCATATCATGAGTGAACATTAACTTCAACTAGGTTTTTTGTCTCTGCTGAATGGAAAATGTTAAAGTTATTTTTAAAGATGAATGTGGTACTGGGAATGTCAAATCCTATTGAGATTATGTCAAATTATCATCCATTATACAATTAAAAGGGTAATATATTTTTTATCCTATTACTTTACCTGCCAGATTAACTTCTTTTCCAGCGGCCATCTGTTCGGTAGGTTTCGGCACTGAGTTTTCTGCCCCTAAAGGAGAACATTTAGGTCATATTGAAATTTCATCAGGTTACTACATTATCAAAGTTATATTATATCATATACACCATATCATGAGTGAACATTAACTTCAACTAGGTTTGTTGTCTCTGCTGAATGGAAAATGTTAAAGTTATTGTTAAAAGGTGAATGTGGAACTGGGACAGTCAAATCCTATTGAGATAATGTCAAATTATCATCCATTATACAATTAAAAGGGTAATATATTTTTTATCCTATTACTTTACCTGCCAGATTAACTTCTTTTCCAGCGGCCATCTGTTCGGTAGGTTTCGGCACTGAGTTTTCTGCCCCTAACGGAGAACATTTAGGTCATATTGAAATTAATCAGGTTACTACATTATCAAAGTTATATTATATCATATACAGTATATAATGAGTGAACATTACCTTCAATTAGCTTTTTTGTCTCTGTTGAATGGAAAAGGTTAAAGTTATTGTAAAAAGGTGAATGTGGAACTGGTACAGTCAAATGAGATATGTGCTTGGTGTCAATGGAATGTTTCCTCAAAAATAAGTTCATGTATTAGCATGTATTAGCATTTCACCCAGAGATCAGAATGAAACAGTTACCTGCCGGCCCCTGTGCTAGCTCAGTTTGATTCGAAATATAGACACAATCATGTCAACATAAAATCAATCATGGTTTATGTTGTCATAACTCATCTCACACTTAGTTTATTTATCACACAGATCAGATGAGATACTGTTTCTGCACTTTTGGCATGACACATTTTAGAGGGTAAAGACATCTATTCCCCCTATTACTTAATACCTTCCAGATTAATTTCTATACCAGCTGCTATCTCTTCAGTAGTTGGTATCTGTTCTGTGATTTCTGCCCCTAGCAGAGCACATTTAGGTCATTACCCGCAATTCATTACCTTACATATTTAAATTTATACTAAACTAGACATCTAAATGATGATCAAAGTTATAATATTATTTCATCATGATAGTTAACAACCTTCAATTGTTTTTTTGGGCTCTGTTGAACGGAGTAGGTAAAAGTTATTGTAAAAAGGTCAATTGTGGAACAAGGAGAGTCAAATCCTATTGAGATATGTGCATATCATGCTTCGTGTCAATGGAATGTTTTCTAGAAAATAAGTTAGTTGCATGCATCTTATGATAGCCTTTCACTCAGTTTGATCTGAAATATAGAGACACAATTGTCAAAATAAAATCAATCATTGTTTATGTTGTCTTAACTCAAATTTCACTCTTAGTTTATTTATCAGATGAAATACACTACCTGAATCTGTTTCTGGACTTTTGGGATGAAGACCACATGGACCCTAAAAGATACAAAAATATTATTGTTTATATATTTTATGGACAAAATATTTTATGACACATTTCTCTATAGGGTCATTATTACTGTTATATCTTGCTCTTATAATTACATCACAAACACTAGTATGACTGAATACCAGATACCTCTTCGTTTGCACAGAATGACAGAGCACAGAGCACCGATGACCAGAAACAGGACCAACAGGACCAGAGTCACAATGAAGGCTTCTTTGGAGACTCCTGCACAGAGACCCAACATGGATAACATGCCTCTAAAGCTCTCAAGACATGACATCATCAGAACACCATCACAGTGAAATTAATTAGCAAAAGCAATCTGTAGACACCTCTTCAACCTGTTATCCTCCTCCTCTAAAGTAGTGTATGTGTGGGATGGGGAGAGAGGGATCTGATTGTGGGTAGGTGTTTGTGTAGGAGACTAACTCACCAGGTACAGCTGTAGGAGCTGTGTATATATGTGGCAGAATTCTGCCCTCTCTCTTAGCCTCCTCAGACAAAGAGACTGTACAGGAGAGCCAATTGGAGTATGAGGGAGCATACAGCAGCCAACTACTGACACTCACCAAGCCCTGAGGATCTGATACAGAAAGATGGGGAGGGGAAATCAAAATATTCACATTGACTTACACAAAGTAGTCAACTGAAAGTACCACCACAACCCAGGTCACATGTTTTACCCAAAACACAGGTACTAGAACATTTGTGTCCCGCAGAACAGAGACAGTGTGAGGAAGTACCAAAATGTAATTACCAAAAGTGTTGAGTACTTCTTGTCCATTTTCTGATCTCTGTCCCATCTTTGTTTCTCCAGGTGAGTTTAGGTTGTGGTGACCAGCCCACTGATGAACAGGTAACGTTCACCTGACCTCCTCCTCCTCGTCCTTCAGCTACAGAGAGAACTGGTTCACTACCTGTCCACTGATGGACAGATAAGGGGGGACAAGCAAACAACTATTAAGACACAGATAGAATGACAGAAAAAATTGGAAGAATACAATATGGTATTTTTACAATTTAGTGTTTAGATGGTTTCCTCACTCTGAAAGTAGTCTATGGGCCAGAAGAAACTATAGTTACCGGAGTTGTAACTCCAGTTCTATGAGTGGAGCGGAGCCCCATAGGGGAGCTCTGCTCCTATTGGTTTACCCCGCTGCCTAGGCAGCGAACAGCCTGAGACAAAATTATGCACACACCTGCCAGCCAATGGAGTACAGTGTCCTATAAGAGGGGACGCTTCCCTCAATAAGCTCCAGAGAAATTATCTTCAGACTGGAGGGTCGGCAGGGCCTTAAGTCCTATGGTGCTCGCTCCACTCTAAAGTGGAATTACCTCCGGTAACTATCGTTTCTATATCGTGGAGCTCCGCCCATATGGAGCTCGGCTCTATTGGTTAGGGCTGAGCGCAACGCTCCAAAATGTACTCCTGCCGAGCCCACACACTTCCACTTGAAAAGGTCGGGCCTAGCAATGAGAGCAGATACTGTTCACAAAATACTGGTCCTCTGTACAAATCCGCCCCACCTATCATTGCCATTGCCAATGTCTAGTGGCAGCTAACGCAGAATCGGAGCCATGCTAAATCTGAACCCGCAGATAGATGTGCCCTCAATATCCGTTAAAACAAACCGACCACTAATGGATTGACACAAATTGTCACTCTACAACGGTGAGGTCGGTAAATTCCGCCACACTCAATCTACGGAATCCCCAAAGATTGGTGGGTAGAATCCAGAACATGAGCCATACTAATCTGAACTAGCAGATAGATGGCGTCTCATATCCTGTCAAAACAAAACCGATCACTAATGGAATGACACAAAGTGTCACTCTACACTGTGTATTCGGTAATCCGCCACACTCAATCTATGGAAACCCAAAGATTAGTGGGTAGACTCCAGAACATGAGTCATACTAATCTGAACAAGCAGATAGATGACGTCACAATTCCGTCAATATATATGACCGGTCTAATAGTAATGTAAACAAAGTTACAAACACTATTTCCCTCATCATTCCGCCCCAACCCAGTTATGCACTGGTGAGCAGGTCACAATACATTACCTCTACTGTACTGATAACCTCAGTCAGGAGTCATGGCTCTCTCATAGAAAAAAGCCGACCTAATGGGAACCCTGCCCCCTGGTCCTGCATCTTTTTTCTCTTAGTTCAAGTCCTTCCATCAGCTACACTGAGTACAGACTGAACCAGAGAGTTAGAAGACATATCTAAACAGGTAGAAATAGATAAAAGGAGACGGTGACAATCAAGACACGGCTGCGCAATATCCTCTACACCTGTTCCTCTGAAAAAGGTAATAGAAGCCGCTACTCCACGAGTGGATTGGGCTCTTCTACCCAGAGGCAATGGCCGCCCTGCAGCCTCATAAGCCGTCTCAATGCCTTACAAAGCCAATGAGACAGACGCTGTTTAGAAAGTGGTCTACCGAGTGCAGCCGCACCGTGACACACAAAACAGCTGAGGCGATGACCTAATCGCCGCGTTGCGCTCCACGTAGCGCGCCAAGGCGCGCACTGGGCACAGGCGATGGAGCCGTTCCTCTCTCCTCTCAACATGGTGAAAGGGAGAGAAGGCCCACAGCTCTACGATCTGTAACCTATATGAGCTCTTAATAACCTCAGGCATAAATGCCGGGTTAAGACTTAACACCGTCCTGCTCAATCGTCATAAATGGCAAGGCACTCGGGTCTCGTCGAAAGAGCGTACAAATCATTGAGACGTTAAGCAGTGGTCAAAGCGAGCAACAGTTTCATCTTCAAAGATAACATCTTAAGGGGGATTTGATTCAATGGCTCGAACGGTGGCTCGCAGAGCGCTTCGAGTACCAAAATCAAATCCCACTGAGGAAGCGTGGCTCTAGGCATTGGCCTAAGCCGCCGCGTTCCCAATAGAAAACGTTTCACAAGAGGGTGGCTGAAAACAGTGTCTCTGCCAAACCCTCATGACAAGCCTAAATCGCCGCCGCAAGCACCTACATGGTGGCGGGGTGAGCGCTGCTTATCACATAGGAACTGTAGGAATGAGCGTATGCTCTCGACCTGACAGCACACGTAGTCCACATTTTCTGTGACACAACACTGTGAAAAAACATTCCATTTACTGGCATAAGTCTCAGCGGAACCACGGAATGGGCCGACGACATGAGACCCAAGAGTGACATGACCGAAAGCGCCCTTTACCGTGTGATCATATAAAACCTTGGTAGGGCTAGCAACAGGGCAGCCCGTCGAGGATTCCGAAATTCGAGCCTCATCGTTACAGTGTCGAGCTGTATCCACAGATAGACAATCTGATGACTGGGCCAGGTGCCGCTCTTTTTCCCCAATTCACAGCGAACCCCAAGACACGTGAGTTGAATCACTGTCTGTGTCGTGTTGTGTGATCGCCAGCTCTGCTGACGGGGCGAGAACCACTAAGTCGTCTAGGTAGGCTAAACCCTTATCCCCTGACGACGTAACCGTGCGTATTGCCGCCTCCACAAATTTGAAAACGTGTGCGGTGCCAGGGCGTACCCGAATGGCATCCTCATGTATTAGTAACGCCGCCCCTTGAAAAGCGAAAAAGCAGAAAACTTCCTGTGACGCGGAGGTGGTACCGGCACCTAAACTATTCGTCCTCAGTCGATGCTCGTAACAAAAGTCTCTCCTCTGGACACATTCCAGGACGTTTTTGTCGTCACATTCGCAAGGGCAGTTTTGCTACGCTCTCGTTGAGACGCGTAGATCCAATATTGCCTCATTCCCCCGTCGTTTTGGCCCCAGGATAGGGCGAATATAACCCCCGTCCTTTCCTTTCTCCGAGGAACTACTTTGACTGACTGCCTCCTTCCCAAAAGTTCGGTAATCTCTGTAACGAGAAGCGGCGACCTTTCCCGTGTGTTCCATTCATCATCCATCTCCACCACCGCTCCCCCCTGAATGTGGAGGGATCCGGGTGAAATTGGATGGCATAACCCTTCTCCCAGCGTCCGGTCTTGCCAGTGGGAGAGGGTACAGCTTCGCTGCCACTCCCAATAATGCTGAGAAAGCGGAAGAGCGCCCGAAAAAAAGCTGTGGTGCATATCTAGGAAGACCTGTATTCCTCTAACCGGCCGTCGCCGCCGCTGTTTCCCGCAGTGAATTGGTCAACGCCCAAGGCGGGCCTCTCATGAAAGGGAGAGGAAACATGAGCGGGTTCCTCTGAGAGAAACGGGGCGTGACACGTTGGTTATACTCGTAACCTTCTTGTCCCAGCCCTCCGTGACCGCAGCACGGGTCTGAACTGCCTGACTGAGGCGCTCGCCTGAGTTAGCGCCTTCTCCCCCATAGCGATTGCGTCATCATTCCATAACTGGCGGTGTAACGTGCATGCTACTATGGAATCCTGTACCACAAACACTCCTAGGACTATTGTTTGTAGGTTTATGAGGTATAACAAGGCGCTCCTCAACGACGTCTCCTTGTTCCCCCCTTATTCACACGTGCCTCATGTTGTATGCTCACTACGCACCCGTAGTGGCGGTGCTACACTCATAGTGGTTGCGGAGGAGAGAGAGCGAGAGAGTAAGCACCTGAACGGTTTTCGGTGTAATCATGGAAAAGGGGCTGTCTTGGAAAAAGTCAATTGGAGCCAACTCTTTATTAGACACACAAAAGCAGCTTTTCCTCCAGTAGGGTGGGGGGGGGAACAGTGGGCACAGTCACACAAGGCGCTGCGCCGTCGCTCCGTTCTCTCCCCCCCTCGCCATGTCATAAACGGCGTCTCTTCTGGCCGCCCTTCGGGTGATGCCCAGATGACGCTTTAATGACCTCTCTCGCGGCGGAATGGTCCTGCACCCTCTTGCGCGCAGGAGGGCTGGGTGCCCGCGTCCCCTCCTTGCTGCTGGAGGCCGCGTCTGACGCCGGGTACACTCGGAGCTAGCCAGAGTAATGGCCGCCCTCATCAGGTCCACTTCCGGGTTTGAGGGATGGGGTGGCAGCTTAATCCTCACAGCCGCTTAGCAGCCATCTCATGAGCCCTGAAAAATCAACGCAGAGAGGCCTGTGGCGTGGACGGGCCTGCTGAAAATTGCAGAGCCCGGGTCCGTCTCACCCAGGGATGTAAATGAAACCCTCACATTTTTCCTGAGGAAAAAAGGGGTTGTTAAACGTCTGGGTCAGAGTAATGGATCGTTACAATCGAAGACCCATTTCTCCCCAATATTTCCTGTCTCTTCCTGAGTCCATCGCCCTCAGATGATGCTCATAACTGAGGCTAGCCCGATAACACGTCCCCTCTAGAGGGATATCCTCTGGAAAAATGACATCGCTGCTTCCTCTCCTTTAAAGAAAGGAGAAGAGGGCCAGCTGGCGCATAGTGGGGGGATCTATGATGCCACTCCAGCATGCTGTGATCCTAAGCACACAAAACCATAGTTGTCATGGAGGAGCAGCGACATTGAGCTCTGAAAAGAGCTTTTGGCGTGGAAAAACTTCCTGTTGTGCTCTTTAGAGAACGCGTCGAGACTTGGAAATCGGCGACGCTTTCTCTCCTCCTTTCGCGTCCTGAGTCTTGTCTTCTTAGGGCTTCTTCAGTCTCGTCCAGTTCGCTGAAGATACACGGGAGTCTGATTGGAGGGGAAGCATCCCCTCTATAGAGACACAACCTGTACTCTATTGGCTGCAGGTGTGTCATCATTTTGTCTCACAGGCCTGTTCGTTCCTAGGCAGCATGGTAAACCAATAGGACAGCGCTTCCCTATGGTGCGGAGCTCCCCGATATCGACTGTATTCCTGGTTTGGTTTTCTTTTAAACGACCCGACAAACTTCCGCTAACTATAATGCCACCGCTAGCTAACATTCAATAGGAGTGATATGGGCATCCATGACATTTTCTAAATGTCATGGCCAAGCACTCAATAACTTTCAATCATTATTTCGTTTGAAGTTACTTAAAGGTGGTTTGCCCATTTTGTTTACATTACACGGGAGCCTCTATCGCTTCCAGAGATTTTTTTATTTTGTGGGCGGGGCTATATCAGGCGAAAGTTCAGCTGAAGTTTGTAGTTGGCTGGACCCCTATGCAATTGTAAACTGAAGGTGGCAAATGGTAACTGCCTTTTTTTTTTGTTTTAACTCTGTGGTACCAAAACTCCATAACCTGGCTCAGAGGAGGATGCTGACTTGATCAGTGCTGTTGGGGGGTGACACCACCATACACCCAGTTTTCACCATCAATTTGAGAGATAACCCTGACCATTCACAACTGGTGAGGAAGCCACTGGCCTTTTTCATACACTGGTCACTGGTGACTTGGCAGATATACTTCCCCCCTGTTTCTCCTGTGTGACCCTCCTCCAGGCTCAGGGACACATTCCCTCCTCTCCAGCCCCCCCATTAGAGCACAAACCCCTGGCCCCTATAACTGGGGTCACAGGGGCCTCCTGGATCTTGTGATCTTTGTACAACAAGGCAGGACTGTGGAGGTTACTGGAACGGTACCCCCACCTCCAATGGCATCTGCATTGAAGAGAGGTGAGACTTCAACAGAGTAGAGAGACCGAGGAAGCCAGACAGAGTCGAGGTTGGACCATCAGGACAGTTAAGGTGAACGTCTCCCCGGGGCTGGAGAATGAGAGACAGGGGAGAAAGAGGGCGAGATAAGAGAGGGTGACTGTATTTGGCTCACGCCCAGGGGGGGCCAGTTTCCGGGACACAGATAGCATAGTCCCTGACCTGGATCTCCATTTGAAATTACTTTTTAATACTGTGTCCGGGAACCGTTTTCCTTTCAGTTACTAATGTAATTACCAGTGTAAACATTCTCACCAGGTTTATCTGCTCTGATGGTACTGTGAGATCAACCAGTATCAGCACCCTCAGACCAAAATCCCTGCATAAAGATACAGGACATCAATCCACAATGACATTATCACAACTGATTATTCAATGGCGGCTGTGGAGAGCTGGCGTTTTAAAACTGGCTCCTAACCAACTGTGCTATTGTGGTGTGTTTTTCTTCATTGTTTGTAGACGTATTTTGTACATACTGTTTCTGCCACGTCTCTTATGACTGAAAAGAGCGTCGGATATCAAACATTGATTACTATCTCACTCGACCTGGACGAGATGTTTCTTTAACAAGTCTGAGACTGCGAAGGTTTTCTGCAACTACTACCGACCATTGCCAAATCCTGTCATTCGCATGAGATAAGACGCGATAGCAGGGACGCAGATCCGGGTGCCTTGTGATCATTTGGTCTGCGAGTGGGTAACCCCCTTCCGCCATCTAAACCAGCCGTCCTATTGGCCACTTGCAATCATTGGGAGAATAAACTGGATGAGCTAGCTGCCCAGTTCAAAGACTACTACCGGGACCTTAAAAAAAACTGTAATAATCTTATGGTTTCATTCACCGATTCGTGTGAATGATGACATGGATAAAATATCGCAGTCAGGCTGGGTTTTTCCGTACATTCGCAAGACAGAACAGCTCCTCTGGTAGACAGAGGGTTGGTGCGGTCTGTGTCTATTTGTCCTAACAGCTGGTGCGCTAAATCTATTTAAGGAGTCCAGGTTTTGCTCGCCTGAGGTTAGAGTATCTCATATAAGCGGTAGACCACACATTACCAGCGAGTTTATCTATATTTTTTCGTAGCCATCTATTTACCACCACAAACCGATGCTGGCAACCTAAGACCTGCACCAAACGGAGCTGTATAAGGCCATAGCAAACAACATGCTCATTCATAGCAGCGCTCCCCTTAGTGGCTCCGGGTACTTTAATGCAGGGAAATGTCATCACGAGTTTTAATGACCCACCTAGTGTCCGTACTTCTTGACTTCACCTGTACATACAGTATCAAGTATCAAAATATTTTAACAATAAAATTAAAACAAGTGTCAGAATGATTATGCCCATTTTGACTCCAATGCTTCCCACAGACGGTAATGTCCGTTGGGTGGTGGACCATTTCTTGATACACCAGGAAACTGTTAGCAGAAAAACCCATCAGCGTTCAGTTTCTTGACACACTCAAAAAACCGGTGCACTTGCCATTCTATACCATACTCCCGTTCAAATGCACTTAATCTTTTGTCTTGCCTGCACCCCATGAATGGCACACCTAACAATCCATGGTCTCAATTGTCTCAAGTTAAAATCATTATGTAACCCATCTCCTCTCCGCTTCATCTACAACACTGATCAGTGGATTTAACAGTGCCATCAATAACGGATCATAGCTGTCATTCACCTGATTCACCTGGTAGTCTATTTTCACAATTCAAGGATCATAGCTTTCACCTGGATTCACCTGGTTCATTCTATGTCCATGGAAAGAGCAGTGTTTCCCTAATGTTTTGGTACACTCTCAGTTATATGGCCATGGTCAAAATCAGATCCCCCTTTGTCTCATATGTGTAGCTTTGGTTTAATTAGCAACCGAGAAGATGAATGACGACAGAGCCTGGTCGAACTTTGGACTTTCAGACATTGGTTTTATATTTGTACTACTGCTACAGTATAATTCATTTTTTCAAATTTTTAAAAACCCTTCCCCACTAGCAGCCATTTAGAAAAGTAGAAGGGGGTAGAAGAAGCATACCTTTTTCAATTACGAGTTAACTGATAACTGAAAACCTTTCATTTCAATTTTAACTCATGTTTCAACTGGCATGATGGTAGTCATAAGTCCATATCACATGTCATTTGTAAACCTGAGTTCATGGTGCCTCTCGTTCGAATTCCATCAAATGTATCCCTCAATGTAGGGATCCTCCGTGACCTTGTCTACTCCCTCCCTTAATTTGAATGTAGTTTCACTTCCCTCTCTGCAGTAGCCTACATGGTTATCTGATGACAACAGGTGACGTTCCAGGTCGTCACTCGCATCTCAAAGACTGCTATATCATAGTAATTTTTTTTCCTCCGGAGATTTTAAAAACACTTTCTCCAGCGTTGTGAATCTGATAGCGTGAACGTGAAAAAGACAACCTGGAAAGCCTCAAAATCTGTAATTTTCCTCCAAAAATCCAACTTGTCACTGTTTCTTTGTTGCTCTTCTATATTTTGTCCAATGTACTGATTCCAGCGTGGCCATCTTGGGCCCGTCAACCATGTAGAAAATCAGCTTGTGTGGCCTTGGACCGTGTATCCTGAAAACTTCTATAATTTTTTTTACAACTAAACTGACCATAATGACTAGTATCACTCCTTCTCACGCTCACACCTCACACGAACGCGAACACCCACACCCTTTTAATGTAGTTGGATTACATTTATTTGTAGGTCACGATGGACACTTTCTGATTTGTATTTGCAACATTGGGACGAGGGGACCTTGTGTGGCATAATAGAACAAACATTTTGTTTTATTGTGTGATTGACGTTTTCGGTTCAGACCGTAGAATGATCTACATATGGTTTCTTGCACTGGTATTTATGTTTTTTTCATAATCTCTTTGGTGCTCAGAGTTGAGTGTAAGGGAAAAAATCAGGTATCGGATATTGTTGGGCACCACCCCATTGATTCATTTCCCCTGTGGTTACATGTGTGGACATGTCAATCCATCTCATTAGATCAGGGGTGTCAAACTCATTTTAGCTCAGGGGCCACATGGATGAAAATCTTTCCCCGAGTTATCCCGGCATTGTTTCGCCCTAACGGAACCATTTACAGTGGGGGAAAAAAAGTATTTAGTCAGCCACCAATTGTGCAAGTTCTCCCACTTAAAAAGATGAGAGAGGCCTGTAATTTTCATCATAGGTACACGTCAACTATGACAGACAAAATGAGGAAAAAAACATCCAGAAAATCACATTGTAGGATTTTTTAATGAATTTATTTGCAAATTATGGTGGAAAATAAGTATTTGGTCAATAACAAAAGTTTCTCAATACTTTGTTATATACACTTTGTTGGCAATGACACAGGTCAAACGTTTTCTGTAAGTCTTCACAAGGTTTTCACACACTGTTGCTGGTATTTTGGCCCATTCCTCCATGCAGATCTCCTCTAGAGCAGTGATGTTTTTGGGCTGTCGCTGGGCAACACAGACATTCAACTCCCTCCAAAGATTTTCTATGGGGTTGAGATCTGGAGACTGGCTAGGCCACTCCAGGACCTTGAAATGCTTCTTACGAAGCCACTCCTTCGTTGCCCGGGCGGTGTGTTTGGGATCATTGTCATGCTGAAAGACCCAGCCACGTTTCATCTTCAATGCCCTTGGTGATGGAAGGAGGTTTTCACTCAAAATCTCACGATACATGGCCCCATTCATTCTTTCCTTTACACGGATCAGTCGTCTTGGTCCCTTTGCAGAAAAACAGCCCCAAAGCATGATGTTTCCAACCCCATGCTTCACAGTAGGTATGGTGTTCTTTGGATGCAACTCAGCATTCTTTGTCCTCCAAACACGACGAGTTGAGTTTTTACCAAAAAGTTCTATTTTGGTTTCATCTGACCATATGACGTTCTCCCAATCCTCTTCTGGATCATCCAAATGCACTCTAGCAAACTTCAGACGGGCCTGGACATGTACTGGCTTAAGCAGGGGGACACGTCTTGCACTGCAGGATTTGAGTCTCTGGCGGCGTAATGTGTTACTGATGGTAGGCTTTGTTACTTTGGTCCCAGCTCTCTTCAGGTCATTCACTAGGTCCCCCCGTGTGGTTCTGGGATTTTTGCTCACCGTTCTTGTGATCATTTTGACCCCACGGGGTGAGATCTTGCGTGGAGCCCCAGATCGAGGGAGATTATCAGTGGTCTTATATGTCTTCCATTTCCTAATAATTGCTCCCACAGTTGATTTCTTCAAACCAAGCTGCTTACCTATTGCAGATTCAGTCTTCCCAGCCTGGTGCAGGTCTACAATTTTGTTTCTGGTGTCCTTTGACAGCTCTTTGGTCTTGGCCATAGTGGAGTTTGGAGTGTGACTGTTTGAGGTTGTGGACAGGTGTCTTTTATACTGATAACAAGTTCAACAGGTGCCATTAATACAGGTAACGAGTGGAGGACAGAGGAGCCTCTTAAAGAAGAAGTTACAGGTCTGTGAGAGCCAGAAATCTGGCTTGTTTGTAGGTGACCAAATACTTATTTTCCACCATAATTTGCAAATAAATTCATAAAAAATCCTACAATGTGATTTTCTGGAGAAAAACATTCTCAATCTGTCTGTCATAGTTGACGTGTACCTATGATGAATATTACAGGCCTCTCTCATCTTTTTAAGTGGGAGAACTTGCACAATTGGTGGCTGACTAAATACTTTTCCCCCCCACTGTAGGTAATATTGAAATTAATTAGTTTACTACATTATCAAAGTTATATTATATCATATACAGTATACCATGAGTGAATATTACCTTCAACTAGGTTTTTTGTCTCTGCTGAATGGAAAATGTTAAAGTTATTGTTAAAAGGTGAATGTGGAACTGGGACAGTCAAATCCTATTGAGATTATGTCAAATTATCATCCAATTATACAATTAAAAGGGTAATATATGTTTTATCCTATTACTTTACCTGCCAGATTAACTTCTTTTCCAGAGGCCATCTGTTCGGTAGGTTTCGGCACTGTGTTTTCTGCCCCTAACAGAGAAAATTTAGGTAATATTGAAATTAATCAGGTTACTACATTATCAAAGTTATATTATATCATATACACCATATCATGAGTGAACATTAACTTCAACTAGGTTTTTTGTCTCTGTTGAATGGAAAAGGTGAAAGTTATTTTTTAAAGATGAATGTGGTACTGGGAATGTCAAACCCTATTGAGATTATGTCAAATTATCATCCATTATACAATTAAAAGGGTAATATATTTGCTATCCTATTACTTTACCTGCCAGATTAACTTCTTTTCCAGCGGCCATCTGTTCGGTAGGTTTCGGCACTGAGTTTTCTGCCCCTAAAGGAGAACATTTAGGTCATATTCAAATTCATCAGGTTACTACATTATCAAAGTTATATTATATCATATACACCATATCATGAGTGAACATTAACTTCAACTAGGTTTGTTGTCTCTGCTGAATGGAAAATGTTAAAGTTATTGTTAAAAGGTGAATGTGGAACTGGGACAGTCAAATCCTATTGAGATGATGTCAAATTATCATCCATTATACAATTAAAAGGGTAATATATTTTTTATCCTATTACTTTACCTGCCAGATTACCTTCTTTTCCAGTGACCATCTGTTCGGTAGGTTTCGGCACTGTGTTTTCTGCCCCTAACGGAGAACATTTAGGTAATATTGAAATTAATCAGGTTACTACATTATCAAAGTTATATTATATCATATACACCATATCATGAGTGAACATTAACTTCAACTAGGTTTTTTGTCTCTGTTGAATGGAAAAGGTGAAAGTTATTTTTTAAAGATGAATGTGGTACTGGGAATGTCAAACCCTATTGAGATTATGTCAAATTATCATCCATTATACAATTAAAAGGGTAATATATTTTTTATCCTATTACTTTACCTGCCAGATTAACTTCTTTTCCAGCGGCCATCTGTTCGGTAGGTTTCGGCACTGAGTTTTCTGCCCCTAAAGGAGAACATTTAGGTCATATTGAAATTCATCAGGTTACTACATTATCAAAGTTATATTATATCATATACACCATATCATGAGTGAACATTAACTTCAACTAGGTTTGTTGTCTCTGCTGAATGGAAAATGTTAAAGTTATTGTTAAAAGGTGAATGTGGAACTGGGACAGTCAAATCCTATTGAGATAATGTCAAATTATCATCCATTATACAATTAAAAGGGTAATATATTTTTTATCCTATTACTTTACCTGCCAGATTAACTTCTTTTCCAGCGGCCATCTGTTCGGTAGGTTTCGGCACTGAGTTTTCTGCCCCTAACGGAGACCATTTAGGTCATATTGAAATTAATCAGGTTACTACATTATCAAAGTTATATTATATCATATACAGTATATAATGAGTGAACATTACCTTCAATTAGGTTTTTTGTCTCTGTTGAATGGAAAAGGTTAAAGTTATTGTAAAAAGGTGAATGTGGAACTGGTACAGTCAAATCATGAGATATGTGCTTGGTGTCAATGGAATGTTTCCTCAAAAATAAGTTAATGTATTAGCATGTATTAGCATTTCACCCAGAGATCAGAATGAAACAGTTACCTGCCGGCCCCTGTGCTAGCTCAGTTTGATTCGAAATATAGACACAATCATGTCAACATAAAATCAATCATGGTTTATGTTGTCATAACTCATCTCACACTTAGTTTATTTATCACACAGATCAGATGAGATACTGTTTCTGCACTTTTGGCATGACACATTTTAGAGGGTAAAGACATCTATTCCCCCTATTACTTAATACCTTCCAGATTAATTTCTATACCAGCTGCTATCTCTTCAGTAGTTGGTATCTGTTCTGTGATTTCTGCCCCTAGCAGAGCACATTTAGGTCATTACCCGCAATTCATTACCTTACATATTTAAATTTATACTAAACTAGACATCTAAATGATGATCAAAGTTATAATATTATTTCATCATGATAGTTAACAACCTTCAATTGTTTTTTTGGGCTCTGTTGAACGGAGTAGGTAAAAGTTATTGTAAAAAGGTAAATTGTGGAACAAGGAGAGTCAAATCCTATTGAGATATGTGCATATCATGCTTCGTGTCAATGGAATGTTTTCTAGAAAATAAGTTAGTTGCATGCATCTTATGATAGCCTTTCACTCAGTTTGATCTGAAATATAGAGACACAATTGTCAAAATAAAATCAATCATTGTTTATGTTGTCTTAACTCAAATTTCACTCTTAGTTTATTTATCAGATGAAATACACTACCTGAACTGTTTCTGGACTTTTGGGATGAAGACCACATGGACCCTAAAAGATACAAAAATATTATTGTTTATATATTTTATGGACAAAATATTTTATGACACATTTCTCTATAGGGTCATTATTACTGTTATATCTTGCTCTTATAATTACATCACAAACACTAGTATGACTGAATACCAGATACCTCTTCGTTTGCACAGAATGACAGAGCACAGAGCACCGATGAACAGAAACAGGACCAACAGGACCAGAGTCACAATGAAGGCTTCTTTGGAGACTCCTGCACAGAGACCCAACATGGATAAAATGCCTCTAAAGCTCTCAAGACATGACATCATCAGAACACCATCACAGTGAAATTAATTAGCAAAAGCAATCTGTAGACACCTCTTCAACATGTTCATTCTCCTCCTCTAAAGTAGTGTATGTGTGGGATGGGGAGAGAGGGATCTGATTGTGGGTAGGCTGTTTGTGTAGGAGACTAACTCACCAGGTACAGCTGTAGGAGCTGTGTATATATGTGGCAGAATTCTGCCCTCTCTCTTCGCCTCCTCAGACAAAGAGACTGTACAGGAGAGCCAATTGGAGTATGAGGGAGCATACAGCAGCCAACTACTGACACTCACCAAGCCCTGAGGATCTGATACAGAAAGATGGGGGGGGGGGGGGGGGGGGTGAATCAAAATATTCACATTGACTTACACAAAGTAGTCAACTGAAAGTACACCACAACCCAGGTCACATGTTTTACCCAAAACACAGGTACTAGAACATTTGTGTCCGCAGAACAGAGACAGTGTGAGGAAGTACCAAAATGTAATTACCAAAAGTGTTGAGTACTTCTTGTCCATTTCTGATCTCTGTCCCATCTTTGTTTCTCCAGGTGAGTTTAGGTTGTGGTGACCAGCCCACTGATGAACAGGTAACGTTCACCTGACCTCCTCCTCCTCGTCCTTCAGCTACAGAGAGAACTGGTTCACTACCTGTCACTGATGGACAGATAAGGGGGGACAAGCAACAACTATTAAGACACAGATAGAATGACAGAAAAAATTGGAAGAATACAATATATGTATTTTACAATTTAGTGTTAGATGGTTCCTCACTCTGAAAGTAGTCTATGGGCCAGAAGAAACTATAGTTACCGGAGTTGTAACTCCAGTTCTATGAGTGGAGCGGAGCCCCATAGGGGAGCTCTGCTCCTATTGGTTTACCCCGCTGCCTAGGCAGCGAACAGCCTGAGACAAAATTATGCACACACCTGCAGCCAATAGGAGTACAGGTGTCCCTATAAGAGGGGACGCTTCCCCTCAATAAGCCTCCAGAGAAATTATCTTCAGACTGGAGGGTCGGAAGGGCCTTAAGTCCTATGGGGCTCCGCTCCACTCATAGAAGTGGAATTACAACTCCGGTAACTATCGTTCTATATCGTGGAGCTCCGCCCCATAGGGGAGCTCTGCTCCTATTGGTTTAAGGCGGAGCGCAACGCTCCAAAATGTACTCCCTGCCGAGCCCAACACTTCCCACTTGAAAAGGTCGGGCCTAGCAATGAGAGCAGAGACTGTGTCACAAAATACTGTGTCCTCTGTACAAATCCGCCCCACCTAGTCCAATGGCATTGCCAATGTCTAGTGGGCAGATAACCAGAATATGAGCCATGCTAATCTGAACCAGCAGATAGATGGTACCTCAATATCCTGTTAAAACAAAACCGACCACTAATGGATTGACACAAAGTGTCACTCTACACGGTGTATTCGGTAATCCGCCACACTCAATCTATGGATCCCCAAAGATTGGTGGGTAGAATCCAGAACATGAGCCATACTAATCTGAACTAGCAGATAGATGGCGTCTCAATATCCTGTCAAAACAAAACCGATCACTAATGGAATGACACAAAGTGTCACTCTACACTGTGTATTCGGTAATCCGCCACACTCAATCTATGGAAACCCAAAGATTAGTGGGTAGACTCCAGAACATGAGTCATACTAATCTGAACAAGCAGATAGATGACATCACAATTCCGTCAATATATATGACCGGTCTAATAGTAATGTAAACAAAGTTACAAACACTATTTCCCTCATCATTCCGCCCCAACCCAGTTATGCACTGGTGAGCAGGTCACAATACATTACCTCTACTGTACTGATAACCTCAGTCAGGAGTCATGGCTCTCTCATAGAAAAAAAGCCGACCTAATGGGAACCCTGCCCCCTGGTCCTGCATTTTTTTCTCTTAGTTCAAGTCCTTCCATCAGCTACACTGAGTACAGACTGAACCAGAGATTTAGAAGACATATCTAACAGGTAGAAAAAAATAAAAGGAGACGGTGACGATCAAGACACCGCTGCGCAATTATCCTCTACACCTGTTCCTCTGAAAAAGGTAATAGAAGCCGCTACTCCACGAGTGGATTGGGCTCTTCTACCCAGAGGCAATGGCCGCCCTGCAGCCTCATAAGCCGTCTCAATGCCTTACAAAGCCAATGAGACAGACGCTGTTTAGAAAGTGGTCTACCGAATGCAGCCGCACCGTGACACACAAAACAGCTGAGGCGATGACCTAATCGCCACGTTGCGCTCCACGTAGCGCGCCAAGGCGCGCACTGGGCACAGGCGATGTAGCCGTTCCTCTCTCCTCTCAACATGGTGAAAGGGAGAGAAGGCCCACAGCTCTACGATCTGTAATCTATATGAGCTCTTAATAACCTCAGGCATAAATGCCGGGTTAAGACTTAACACCGTCCTGCTCAATCGTCATAAATGGCAAGGCACTCGGGTCTCGTCGAAAGAGCGTACAAATCACTGACACGTTAAGCAGTGGTCAAAGCGAGCAACAGTGTCATCTTCAAAGATAACATCTTGAGGGGGATTTGATTCAATGGCTCGAACGGTGGCTCGCAGAGTGCTTCGAGTACCAAAATCAAATCCCACTGAGGAAGCGTGGCTCTAGGCATTGGCCTAAGCCGCCACGTTCCCAATAGAAAACGTTTCACAAGAGGGTGGCTGAAAACAGTGTCTCTGCCAAACCCTCATGACAAGCCTAAATCGCCGTCGCAAGCACCTACATGGTGGCGGGTGAGCGCTGCTTATCACATAGGAACTGTAGGAATGAGCGTATGCTCTCGACCTGACAGCACACGTAGTCCACATTTTCTGTGACACAACACTGTGAAAAAACATTCAATTTACTGGCATAAGTCCCAGCGGAACCACGGAATGGGCCGACGACATGAGACCCAAGAGTGACATGACCGAAAGCGCCTTTACCGTGTGATTCAGATAAAACCTTGGTAGGGCTAGCAACAGGGCAGCCCGTCGAGGATCCGAAATTCGAGCCCTCATCGTTACAGTGTCTAGCTGTATCCCCAGATAGACAATCTGATGACTGGGCCAGGGCACGCTCTTTTTCCCAATTCACAGCGAACCCCAGACACGTGAGATGAATCACTGTCTGTGTCGTGTGTGTGATCGCCAGCTCTGCTGACGGGGCGAGAACCAGTAAGTCGTCTAGGTAGGCTAAAACCCTTATCCCCTGACGACGTAACCGTGCTATTGCCGCCTCCACACATTTGGAAAACGTGTGAGGTGCCAGGGCGTACCCGAATGGCATCCTCATGTATTAGTACGCCGCCCCTTGAAAAGCGAAAACGCAGAAACTTCCTGTGACGCGGAGGTACCGGCACATGAAAATATGCGTCCTTCAGGTCTATGCTCGTACAAAAGTCTCTCCTCTGGACACATTCCAGCAGACGTTTTGTCGTCAGCATTCGAAAGGGCCGTTTGGCTACGCTCTCGTTGAGAACGCGTAGATCCAATATTGGCCTCATTCCCCCCGTCTTTTTGGGCACCAGGAAATAGGGCGAATATAACCCCCTGTTCCTTTGCTCCCGAGGAACTACTGTGACTGCCTCCTTCGCCAAAAGTTCGGTAATCTCTGTAACGAGAGCGGCGACCTTTCCCGGTGTTTTCATCACCATCTCCACCACCCCCCTGAATGGGGAGGGATCGGGTGAAATTGGATGGCATAACCCTTCTCCAGCGTCCGGTCTTGCCAGTGGGAGAGGGTACAGCTTCGCTGCCACTCCCAATAATGCTGAGAAAGCGGAAGAGCGCGAAGCTGTGGTGCATTCAGTAGGAAGGACCTGTATTCCTCTACGGCCGTCGCCGCCGCTGTTCCCCGACAGTGAAGTGGTCGAACAGCCCAAGGCGGGCCTCTCATGAAAGGGAGAGGAAACATGAGCGGGTTCTGAGAGAAACGGGGGCGCTGACACGTTGGTTATACTCGTAACCTCGTTGTCCCAGCCCTCCGTGAACGCAGCACGGGTCTGAACTGCACAGAGCGCCGTCTCCCAATAGCGATTGCGTCATCATTCCAGTAACTGGCTGTGTACGCAGGCTACTATGTGAATCCTGTACCACAACACTCCTAGGAGTCTATGTGTGTAAGGTTTTTATGAGGTATAACAAGGCGGCTCATCAAAGACGTCTGCCTTGTTCCCTTATTCACACGTGCCTCATGTGTATGCTCAACTACGCACCCGTAGTGGGCTGTGCTACACTCAGAGTGGTGAGGAGGAGAGAGAGAGAGAGAGTAAAGGCACCTGAACGGTTTCGGGTGTATCATGGAAAAGGGGCTGTCTTGTGACAAAGTCAATTGGAGCCAACTCTTTATTAGACACACAACACGCAGTTTCCTCCAGTAGGGTGGGGGGGGGAACAGTGGGCACAGTCACACAAGGCGCTGCGCCGTCTTCCGTTCTCTCCCCCTCGCCATGTCATAAACGGCGTCTCTTCTGGCCGCCCTTCGGGTGATGCCAGGATGACGCTTTAATGACCTCTCTCGCTGGCGGAATGGTCGGCACCTCTTGCGCTGCAGGAGGGGCGGGGCCCGCTCCCTTGCTGCTGGAGGCCGCTGTCTGACGCCGGGTACGACGCGGAGCAGTAGCGAGAGTAAGGGCCGCCCTCCATCATGTCCACTTCCGGGTTGGAGGGAATGGGGGGCAGCTTAATCTCCAGCCGCTTAGCAGCCATCTCAATGAGCCCTGAAAAATCAGAGCGCAGAGAGGCTGTGGCGTAGGACGGGCCTGCTGAAAATTCAGAGCCCGTGTCGTCATCACCCAGGGATGTAAATGACCTCACAATTTCCTGAGGGAAAAAGGGGTGTTAAACGTCTGGGTCAGAGTAATGGATAGTTCCAATAGAATACCCATTTCCTCCCCAATATTCCTGTCATCTCCTGAGTCAGCGCCCTCAGATGATGCCTCAGAAGCTGAGGCTAGCACCGATAACACGTCCTCTAGAGGGATATCCTCTGGAAAAAATGACCATCGCTGCTTCCTCTCCTTTAAAGAAAGGAGGGCGCAGCTGGCGCATAGTGGGGGATCTATGAGGCCACTCCAAGCATGCTGTGATCCTAAGCACACAAAACATAAGTTGTCATGGAGGAGCAGCGACATTGAGCTCTGAAAAGAGCTTTTGGGCGTGGAAAAACTCCTGGTGTGCTCATTTAGAGGACGACGTCGAGACTTGGAAATCGGCGACGGCTTTCTCGTCCTGAGTCTTGTCTTCTTATCGGCTTCTTCAGTCTAGTCCAGTCGCTGAAGATAAAGGGAGGCTGATTGAGGGGAAGCATCCCCTCTTATAGAGACACCTGTACTCCTATTGGCTGCAGGTGTGTGCATCATTTTGTCTCAGGCTGTTCGTTGCCTAGGCAGCAGGGTAAACCAATAGGAGCAGCGCTTCCCTATGGGGCGGAGCTCCACGATATAGAACTGTATTCCATGGTTTGGTTTTCTTTTAAACGACCACGACAAACTTCAGCTAACTATAGCCACCGCTAGCTAACATTCAATAGGAGTGATAGGGGCATCCATGACATTTTCTAAATGTCATGGCCAAACAACTCAAATCAACTTTCAATTATTTCGTTTGAAGTTACTTAAAGGTGGTTTGCCCATTTTGTTTACATTAAACGGATGCCTCTATCGCTTCCAGAGATTTTTTATTTTTTTGGGGCGGGGCTATATAAGGCTAAAGTCAGCTGAAGTTTGTAGTTGGCTGTACCCCTAATGCAATTGTAAACTGAGAGGTGGCAAATGTAACTGCCTTTTTTTTTTTACTCTGTGGTACCAAAGACTCCATAACGTGTCTCAGAGTAGGAGTGCTGATCTAGGATCAGGTGCTTTGGGGGTGACACCACAATACACAGTTTCACCATCAATTTGAGAGATAACCCTTACCATTCACTGTGAGGAAGACACTGGCCTTTTCATACCACTGGTCACTGGTGACTTGGCATATATACTCCCCCCTGTCTTCCTGTGTGACCCTCTCCAGTCTCAGGGACACATTCCCTCTCTCCAGCCCCCCAGTTAGAGACACCCTGCCCCTATACTGGGGGTCCACAGGGGCCTCCTGGATCTTGTGATCTTTGTACAACAAGGCAGGACTGTGGAGGTTACTGGAACGGTACCAGCCCACCTCCAATGGCTCTGCATTGAAGAGAGGTGAGACTTCACAGAGTAGAGAGACCGAGGAGCCAGACAGGGTCGAGGTTGGACCATCAGGGACAGTTAAGGTGAACGTCTCCGGGGCTGGAGAAGGAGAGACAGGGGAGAAAGAGGGCGAGAGAAAGAGAGGGTGACTTATTTGTGCTCGACTCCCAGGGCCAGTTTCCTGGACACAGATTAAGCATAGTCCTGACCTGGATCTCCATTGAAATTACTTTTTAATACTGTGTCCAGGGAACCGTTTCCTTTCAGTTACTAATGTAATTAACAGTGTAAACATTCTCACCAGGTTGAGCTGCTCTGATGGGTACTGTGAGAGCAACCAGTATCAGCACCCTCAGACACAACCCTGCATAAAAGATAAAGGACATCACAATGACATTATCACAACTTATTATTCAATGGCGCTGGAGGAGATGGCTGGCGTTTTACTGGCTCCTAACCAACTGTGCTATTGTGTGTGTTTTTTCTGCATTGTTTGTAACTTATTTTGTACATAATGTTTCTGCCACCGTCTCTTATGACTGAAAAGAGCGTCTGGATATCAGAACATTGATTACTCACATCGAACTGGACGAAGATGTTTCATTTAACAAGTCGGACGCGAAGGATTTACTGCAGACACCGGACCAGGCCCAAATCCCTGTCATTCGCATGAAGAGAAGACGCCGATACAGGGGACGCAGATCCGGGTGCCTTGTGAGAATTGGTCGGCGAGTGGGTAACCCGCCTCTAACCAGCCGTCCTATTGGCCAACGTGCAATCATTGGAGAATAAACTGGATGAGCTCCGTTCAAGACTATCCTACCGGGACATTAAAAACTGTAATATCTTATGTTTCACCGAGTCGTGGCTGAACGATGACATGGATAACATACAGCAGGCTGGGTTTTCCGTACATCGGCAAGACAGAACAGCTGCCTCTGGTAAGACAAGGGTTGGCGGTCTGTGTCTATTTGTCCATAACAGCTGGTGCGCGAAATCTAATATTAAGGGAGTCTCAAGGTTTTGCTCGCCTGAGGTAGAGTATCTCATGATAAGCTGTAGACCACACTATTTACCAAGAGAGTTTATCTATATTTTTCGTAGCCATCTATTTACCACCACAAACCGATGCTGGCACTAAGACCGCACTCAACGAGCTGTATAAGGCCATAAGCAAACAAGAAAATGCTCATTCAGAGGCAGCGCTCTTAGTGGCCGGGGACTTTAATGCAGGGAAATGTCATCACGAGTTTTAATGACTCCAACCTAAGTGTACGTAAACTTCTGACTTCAACTGTACATACAGTATCAAAGTATCAAAATATTTTACCAATAAAATTAAAACAATTGTCATAATGATTATGCCCATGTTGACTCCAATGCTTCCCACAGACGGTATGTCCTTTGGGTGGTGGACCATTCTTGATACACACAGGAAACTGTTGAGCATGAAAAACCCAGCAGCGTTGCAGTTCTTGACACACTCAAACCGGTGCACTTGGCACATACTACCATACCCCGTTCAAAGGCACTTAAATCTTTTGTCTTGCCCATTCACCCACTGAATGGCACACATAAACAATCCATGTCTCAATTGTCTCAAGGTGTAAAAATCATTATGTAACCCATCTCCTCCGCTTCATCTACACTGATTCAAGTGGATTTAACAAGTGCCATCAATAAAGGATCATAGCTTTCACCTGGATTCACCTGGTGAGTCTATTTCAAGGATCATAGCTTTTCACCTGGATTCACCTGGTCAGTCTATGTCATGGAAAGAGCAGGTGTTCCTAATGTTTTGTACACTCAGTGTATATTGCATGGTCAAATCAGATCCCGCCTTTGTCTCATATGTGTAGCTATTGGGTTAATTAGCAACCAGAGGAAGATGAATGAACAGACAGAGCCTGTGATTCTGAACTTTGGACTTTCAGACATTGGTTTTATATTTGTACTACTGCTACAGTATATTCATTAACTAGCCACACTAGCAGCCATTTTAGAAAAGTAGAAGGGGGTAGAAGAAGCATAACCTTTTTCAATTACGAGGTAACTGATAACTGAAAACCTTTCATTTCAATTTTAACTCATGTTTCACTGGCATGATGGTAGTCATAAGTCATATCAAATGCATTTGTACCTGAGTTCATGGTGCCTCTCGTTCGAATTCCATCAAATGTATCCTCAATGTAGGGATCCTCCGATGATCCTTGTCTACTCCCTCCCTTAATATTGAATTGTAGTTTCACTTTCCCTTCTCTTGCAGAGCCTACATTGGTTATTGATTGACAAAAGGTGACGTTCCAGGTCGTCACTACGCATCTCAGAAGACTGCTATATCATATTGATGTGTTTCCGGAGATTTTAAACACTTCTCCAGGCGTTGTGAGATCTGATAGCGTGACCGTGAAAAAGACGACCTGGAAAGCCATCAAATCTGTAATGTTCCTACCAAAAATACAACTTTGTCACTGTTCTTTGTTCTCTTCTATATTTTGTCCAATGTTACTGATGCAGCGTGGCCACTTGCAAGTCAACCATGTAGCAAATCAGCTGGTGTGGCCTTGGACAGTGATAGCCTGAAAACTCTATAATTTTTTACAACTAAACTGACAGACCTAGTATCACTCTCTCACAGATCACTCTCACACGAACGCGAACACACACACACCTTTAAATGTAGTTGGATTACATTTATTTGTTAGGTCACGATGGACAATTTCTGAATTTGTATTTGGCAAACATGTGGAAGAGGGACCTTGATGTGGCATAATAGAACAAACATTTGGTTTATTGTGTGATTGACGTTTCGGTTCAGACAGTAGATGATCTACATAGGGTTCTGCACTGGTATGTATTTTTTTTCATAATCTCTTTGGTGTTCAGAGTTTGAGTGTAAGGGAAAAAAATCAGGTATAGGGATTATTTGATGGGGCACACACCATTGATTCATTTCCCCTGTGGTTACATGTGTGGACATGTCAATCATCATGTAGATCAGGGGTGTCAAACTCATTTTAGCTCAGGGGCCACATGGAGGAAAATCTATTCCCAAGTGAGCCGGACCGGAAAAATCATGGTATATATAACTTAAAAACAACAACTTCAGATTGTTTTCTTTGTTTTAATACGATCAACATACAACATAAAGCTGGAGCCTGAGGACAGTGTCCAAAATAGTACAAGCACAACATCACTATTAATCATAAAACACGTCAAGTTTATTTGAAAATTCTAAAGAAAAAGAACACACAAACACACAATGCCTCAGTGATTAACAGAACTGTTTCACAGACCACAGAACTATATCAGGGTGTCATTTCTCAGGCAGAAATGTAGATAAAAATAATGAAATCCTGTTCCCCAAACAAGTGCAAGAACCACAGAGTCAAGAATAGGTTAAATATACAAATAAAATAAAATCAATTAAAAACAATAGCACATCAACATAAAAACATATAAACATAAAGCTGGAGCCTGAGGACAGTGTCCAAAAGCACAACATCACTATTAATCATAAAACACCTCAAGTTATTTGAAAGTTCTGAGGACAAAGAATACACAAACACACAATGCCTCAGTGATTCACAGAAGTATATCACAGATCACAGAACTATATCAGGGTGTCATTTCTCAGGCAGAAATGTAGATAAAAATAATGAAATCCTGTTCCCCAAACAAGTGCAAGAACCACAGAGTCAAGAATAGGTTAAATATACAAATAAAATAAAAACAATTAAAAACAATAGCACATCAACATAAAAACATATAAACATAAAGCTGGAGCCTGAGGACAGTGTCCAAAAGCACAACATCACTATTAATCATAAAACACCTCAAGTTATTTGAAAGTTCTGAGGACAAAGAACACACAAACACACAATGCCTCAGTGATTCACAGAAGTATATCACAGATCACAGAACTATATCAGGGTGTCATTTCTCAGGCAGAAATGTAGATAAAAATAATGAAATCCTGTTCCCCAAACAAGTGCAAGAACCACAGAGTCAAGAATAGGTTAAATATACAAATAAAATAAAATCAATTAAAAACAATAGCACATCAACATAAAAACATATAAACATAAATCTGAAAGCGTTGCTCAAACTCCCGTAACAGTCCCGTTATTTTATCTTTGAACCGCTTCATGTCTGCCACATGTTGGGTCGCGCACACATTTTTCAGACAGGGGAAGTGAGCTGCATCACCACCGGCAAGTTGCGTCTCCCACAATGACAGCTTCAACTTGAAAGAACGTATGCTGTCATAATACTGCGTGACAACTTTGTTGCGCCCTTGCAGCTGTTTGTTCAAGTTATTCAGGTGCTCTGTAACATCCACCATAAATGCAAGGTCCGGCATCCATTCTGCGGAATGAAATTCTAACACTGGTTTGCCCTTTTCTTCCATGAACTGTTCAATTTCTTCTCGTAAATCAAAGAAACGCCTCAGCACAGCACCTCGGCTTAACCATCTTACCTCAGTGTGGTATGGCAGGCCATAGATGTGGTCTTTCTCTCTGAGAAGGCTGTCAAACTGACGGTGATTCAGGCTTCTGGATCGGATGAAATTAACAGTTTGGATGACCACCTTCATGACGTTATCCATCTTTAATGACTTTAATTGAGGGTGCACCATCTGTAGCCAGGCTGACAGCGCGGGACCAGTCCACTCCGACCCTGTCCAGCGCGCCGACGAGTGCAGTAAAAATATCAGCTGCTGTCGTTGTATCTGTCATCGGCACCAACTCCACGAACTCCTCGGTGACGGTCAATGTGTCATCAACTCCGCGGATGAAAAAATGGCCAGTTGTGCAACATCTGTAATGTCCGTGCTTTCATCAATTGCAACCGAAAACGCAATAAATGACTTTACTTTTTGCTTCAACTGGCTGTCCAAATCCACTGAAAGATCGGAAATCCTGTCTGCAACTGTGTTTCTTGTCAGGCTGATATTTGCAAAAGCCTGCCGCTTTTCAGGGCACACAATCTCCGCTGCCTTCATCATGCATGTTTTTACAAATTCACCCTCACTAAATGGTTTTGAAGCCACTGCGATTTCATTAGCAATGAGGTAGCTAGCTTTCACTGCAGCGTCACTGATGTCTCGGCTGTGAGTAA